TTTTTTTTTAAATAAAAGCTAACAAAAATGCTGTCCGTGGCGTAAAATAATTCATATACCGTGTCATCATTTTGTATTGCATTGCTTTCTACTAAAAAAAAAGTAATATTTAACTTTCCCATTTCATATACAAACATAGCTAAAGCAATGCGCACGTGTTCGGTCTTTTTTTAAATTCAGGCAGTCTTGAACCGTGGATTTAAAATGAATTGTAGTTAATTCTGTTTTTTAAAGTGTTAGCAGAGAGGCTATTTTTATAAAATATGTCTAACTGCTTTGCTGCTTAACCAATTTAAAACAAAGTTGTTTTTAATTAGGTTGTGTTTGGAGAGAGGAGGCAGTGGAAAAAAAAAAGAAACAGTAAACCTGCAGTTAGGTTTTATTATACTTATCCATCCATTAGGTTAATCGGGATTCCTGCAGTGCTGGTAAGAGAAAGAATCTTTCACTAGAGGCAGACCGGTTCTGTGTTTATATTGTGTAAAATAGAATATCAGATAATGTTATATAGAGTTCGTGTAATTAGTAAGTACTCTAAACACAACCTTTGGATTTAACTGTAGAAAGTTTGCAGGTTTACATAAAGCGCTTGCAAGGCTTGTATGAGAACAGAAAATAGCCCTGGAGCAGGTACTATATTCTCCCCAAAATGAAATTGCTTCAAAGGCTTAAATTGCTTTCATCAGCATCTAGAAATACGTTGTTCCTGAACTTACAGTGAGTATAGTCGATAATTTAGGGTTTTGAGGTACAGGGTGGCAGATGTATTCAAGATATAGGTCAGAAAGTTAATCTGAAAACCCATCTGAATTTGGCTTCTGTTTTAAGTTCTCTCATAACGCCACTGTCAGGGAGTTAACTTCTGCACTATTTCACGTGCTTCCAAGATTTCAGGAGCCGTTGCAGTTATAACATTATAGGATTTCTTTTAAGTTAATCTCTCTAACCTTGACAGGCTTCCTAGTAATCCTTTATTCTTTCAATTTCTGGTCGTCTTGTTGAAGTGTGTAAACATTAAGGCCTTGTTTTGTGAAGACAGTGTTTGAGCAGTTTTAAACTTGTAGAATTCCCTAACGAGCTAGAGATGGGATTAGGCAGATTTGGCAAAGGATAAGGAGGGAAATAGAATCACATAAAAGCAAAGTTACTTCTTCGGTATTGTGCATCAAGCCGGCAAGATAGAGAATTCTGCTCTTCTGGTTTTCGCTCTGTAAGATCAGACTGCTTCTTCTGTTAGACCTGGCTAAGTTCCTCAGAGAACAGAGGAAAAAGCCAAAAAGCAAGCTTTTTTGAAATATTTTTAGAAAGTGGGGTAATTATTTATGAATAATCACCTCTGATACTAAATAATTGTTACCACATCTACAGTTCTGAGTGGATTTTGCAGTCAGAATATTGTCTTGTAAGTCATGTGCAAGCGTGATGGTTAACTTTCATGAAAGAGGATGTTAGATTACTGACAAGGAGTACATGCTAGGGGAAGACTGCAGAGGCCCTCATTTTGTTTTGGTTGACAAGGCTAC